AAAAAAAAAAAAAAAAAAAAAAAAAAAAAGAAAGAAGAAGAAAAAAATCGCGTCCTGAATCCGCGATCCGAATAGGTTTGCAACAGAACTGCGCAAACATGCCCCGAAATGCTGTCTAGGTAGGCAGTTCAAAAGGTATTGATGCACTACGTTAATATTGTGTAGCTGCTGCATTATATAACTCAATATGAAATTTAAGATGAGAACTAACTTCACATCCATAAAGATTAGAATTCTTTAAAATCGAACATAGGCCTATTTATTTTGACTTATTTTTAATGCATTTAAAGATCACTTATAATTGGAAAAGTCGCGCAGTTCTTGCTTTGCAGTAGCACTTTATCAAAAATGTTGCGTTCATCCATCTAAACAAGTCCATTGATTACATAAAGGAATATATAGGCTACTCACCTTTCTTGGTCTCAGTTTAAATTTAATCCCAGAATTGCAGCGGGAAACACAATAACTAACAAAATAATTCAGCTTCAGCCAGGATAACTAACAACAGCACATCAGACGCATCCGAGTTTCTTCTCTCTGGAACCGTAGGACTGTGTTGCGAGTCCACGCACGGCCGTGAGCACCGTGGATGTGTGAGAAGTTTTTTGCGTGGGAACTTGATGAGAGGATCACGTGACCAGTCCTGTCCGCCCACTAAACTCTCGCCTTGGCAGGACCACCACGACCTCCCCGAGCCTTATCTTTAAAATACACAGATAGAGTTTATACAAACGCGAAGATACGAGCCAGATGTTAGACATCAAACGCACACATTTTATACAGCCCTGCTGAAGCTGGGTTGTTTGGCTTTATAGCAGTTTTACTAGTAAACATTTATAAATAATGAACATGTAGGCCTATATATAATATATTCTATTGCCCATAAAAAGCTTGCTGAATGTATGTCGCACATATAAACTGACCCTGAGGCTTTTGGTTATTTGTGAGCCTGTTTGCATCTGTCTGAGTGTAAGTAAAAATAATGCTATAAGGCTTTTAATGCATGTTTACTTCATAAACTTATTGAATGACCTATGTTATTACTTTTTTTAATTACATGTCTTAAAAAGCACTAGGATTATCCCCCATAACACAAGTTGGTTTAGCTCCAAACTCTCAGCTAGCACACTGAGCTAAAACTCCCAAGATAAGAATAGAATAAGAAAACAAAGTGAAGTTGTAAAGTTGTCTCATTTTCATGATGTTTCTTACACTTTCAGCTTCACACAAATACACACTTTATAACACAGTACAAAGCTTATCTATGTCAAAACAGCTCTGAACTTGAGTTTAGCCTCCTGGATCTGACATCTCATGACTGGTTCTGTTCTTTTTCATCCACCATACATTGTTCTCTCAGTGAATCATTTAACCATGCACATGCCATTGTGCACTGTGTTAATATGAAGGAATTTTCTGTATTGATTTTTCAAAGGTGTTTTTCTTGTATTCTTAATTATGCATTGCAGTGCGGGTTAAAGGAAATGTCTGTAAACCTTAACCATTTTTCTACTGATTTTTTTCTTTTCACAGGGTAGAACATAGAGTTAGTTATGGGAGTTACATGTATTAAAGTTTTTAGAAAACTTGCTTCAATTTGAATTAATAGTGTTTGTATCTTGTATACTACAACAACTCCTTTAGGATGATGGAGTTGGAAAGAAAGACTTGGCTGACATAAAAGTCAGTCCCATGTGCATATTGTTCCACCTCTGACCTTAAGCACAACTATGTTGTGTTCCATTACACTCATGACCTCTGTCCTAAAATCTTGTCATTAAGACAGGTTGGGGGTGCAGGTCCATATACTGTGTGTATATCATTTTTTAAATAGATCTGGAGGAGGGTGACTGCTTCTATGTCTTTGAGTTTCTAGATGTCACAGAATAGTACAAATAGGCTAACTCAAGTGGACATTTTAAAGACAGAAAAAAGCGAGTAAAAAGTCTCATGTCTCAAGTTAGGCACATCTGGCCAATTTCCCACAAGGATCTTGCATAACCGCAGGGCTGTTTATTCTTGAGACATACACACAAACTGTTGACTCTTATCTTCCCATTCTGCTCTGTTCGATTCAGATGATCTGTTTTGGAGATGGTTTTATCATGATATCATATGACTGTAATTAAGCTCTGTTGGAACTGAAAATTACACTTTCTAATGTTGTTTTTGTGCAGTAGTTGAATAATTAAAGTATCATGCATTACAATACTTTGCATTTCAGTCTGTGGTATTTTAGTTAGTGCTTTTTTGGCAGGCGACATGATTGCTGGCATTTTAGAGGTTATTTATATTGGAAATTTCACCAGCTGTTTTTGTGTTGGCTTGCAGCTGAATTGTTTGGTTGTAATTTCATGTGATACTGCACATGAGCAGCCTGTGACACATTTTAAGGCCATGTAAAATCAAAATGGGTTTTGTGGCTCACATAAAATCAAGTTTCTGCATGCATCTTTAAAGCTTCAGCAGTGCTGTAGTAATACCATGATTATAGTGTAGTAACCATGCTGTATTGTTAGTGAATATTATGTGTGCATGCTGCTGCATACAGTACAGTGAGCTTCTGCAGTGTCTCTCCCTTTACAATCCGCTCTCACCTCCGCCTACACTCACTCCATACAGCGTGACTCATGTTCATGTATCTGAGAGACAGAACAAGGGAGAGACAAAATACTAGATAGAGAAAATGTAATGTATTTTGAAATCATATAGAGTGCTCAACCTAGCATCTGCTTCTATATGCATGTCAGTAAGAAAAAGTAATTCATGCTTTGTTCTCAATCTCTGATTTTTCCTCTATTGTTCATATTCTATTGTAATTCTCTTTCTTCTGACAGTTATTAAAAATTCACATGTAGAATAAAATGCTGACCTGAGATCAGCTCCAGCTGTTTACTGAATTGTTTTTATTGGAATATAAAAGAGTCTCCTCTCGGCATGGAGTCATGCTGTTCTCTGGTGGATGTTTGTTGAACTATACAGAGAAATAAGAGAATGTTGATGTCTTAGAACTACTGAACTTAAAGGGGTAGTTCACACACACACACACACACACACACACACACACACACACAAATTATTAGTAGGCCTACCTAAATGGTACATGTATGTAACTTTTGAAAGGATACTGCGCCAGTGACAGCTTTCGTAGCTTTTTTTTTCCTGAATTTGTGTGTGCCACAAAAATAAACAAATTAAAAAATGACATAAATACATATAAAATATAAACAAACAAACATACATACATTGCTGTTTGAACCCAACATTCTGTAAAATGTCTTCTTCTTAAACATAAATAAGTAAATAAATACATACATACATATACATTTTCAAAATACCAGTCTTTCCTGTTTGGAAGCATATGGGTAGCAGTATTCAATATTCAATATTTCAAATTGAATATTGCTACCCATATGCTTCCATATTCCAGATCCATGTTTCTTGGATAATTTAACAATCCAGGGATTACTAGGGGGTCTGTAAAAGTACTGCAAGGATATTTATACTAATTCCTATGCATTTGTTAATTTCACGTTTTCTAGATTACATTAGAAAACATTAGCTAACATGCATTATGAAGGAAAAATAATCAACAATTAACAATAATATACTTAAAAATTAAAATTAACCAAGATTTAATAAATACTGTAAAAGTGTTGTTCATTTATGGTACAAAATGACAAATATTAACCTTATTGTATATAACCTTATTGTAAAGTGTTACCATAAATTCTTGAATAAACATTAACTCATGATCTGATAAGAAATTATATAGCCTATACTGTAATAATGTTTTACTGAATATTATTATTATAAGAAAATCTTTTTTATATTAGTAGTCCTTCTAGTTCTGTATAGGTTGAAACTCCATGTCTGAGATAATCGATAGTAGAAGTTTAGCAAGTTCATTATGGTAAAAATACCATGTATAGTAAATAATTTTTTTCATGACAAAAACATAATATTAATGTAAGGCAGTGGTCTCAAACTCAATTCCTGGGCCACAGCTCTACACAGTTTTGCTTCAACCCTAATCAAACAGACCTGGGGCCTGTACCATGATGATGGCTGAACAAACTCGGGGTTACAGGATTAGTTTTGAGTTGACAAAACCAAACCAGTCCAATCCGACTTTGTTGGTACCATGAAGCTCATCATCAGCTTTCTCTGTCAACTCAGGCTTGATCCTGAGTTAATGGAGCACCTGCACATGAAAGAGTGACATCAGTAATGAACAGCCAATCAGATGCCTTGAAACTGTGATTCACTTCTTGAGAGAGAGTCAGTGCGATTCACTACCAAAGATTAAAGGGGTCATATGATTAAAATATTGAACAATATGAAGAATTTAAACACATTTACAAGATGAAACGATCTATCCATGAAAGAGGAAAACTTAAAGAAAACATCTTGCCTTATAAGTGCAAGTAAAAGTTGTAAAGTTAGTTAATAGAGTTGATAATATTTATAGGTATAAAAACACTTAAAAATCTAAGCTCATATGTAGTCATGTTTAAAGCTATTGATTCTAAAACATATTTATATAGCATATTATCTATATGTTTATATTAATTTAAAATAAAATCTTAATAATTACTATTAAACTAAGCTAGCTTGTGTAATGGATTAAGGGTATAATAATTCTATAAATCATATAAAATAATTATAAAAAATAATCATCTCTAAATTTAAATTCAGACAATTTTATCTTTAAAAATGTTTTACTATGAAGCGTCATTTAATTTGGAGTAAGAGAAACTGGGGGAGTGGCTTTATTGCGTCAGACATGTGTCACTTTGCTTGAAGCTGAATGGTCAAATTTCACTTTGAAATCTCTAAACCAGAACATAACCTGCCCCAGAGCAGATTAGCTGTGGAGTGTAAATTACTAAGGCAATGAATGCCGCTAAAAGCCAAGCCACTTTCATGGTACCTAAAACCCAGGATTGGTGCAAACTAAACTGAAATTTACCTGGCTAGCCAGCTAATCTGGCTTCATGGTACTGGCCCCTGATCCAGCTAATCAAGGTCTTCGGGATTAGAATTGTGTTTCAAACCACTGATGTAAGTCATATTTGAGACACTAGGTGGCAGTAAAGATTTAATCAATGCCGCGTGCTTTAAAGAGGCCGTTATCACTGGAGTGTTACAACATCTTCACTAATGAATACTATCTATTAATTAAACTAGTCCAAATGGATGCTCATGAATATAATCATTTTTTATGTCATATTATTACCATTTCAATGCACAAACCTAAAACCCAGGCAAAATTAGAACTGTAAAGATTTAAAGATAATCACTTACAGAGGTGTGAGAGTTCAGCTCGTTCAATTACCTCATGCCGCTGGCCTGCTCTTGAATCATCTGAACCCTGAAACCAACAAATGAAAGGAGGACACCGCCCGGGGCATCAAATCAATCTCTCCCACTCTCTCTCCCTCTGTCCTGTTGTGAGATACCTGCATAATATTAGTTACAGACAGCACCTTTGTCTTTATTACACACACACACACACACACACACACACACACACGGCCGGACTTACCATTGGGCTTGAATGGGCTGCAGCCCAGGG